TTTGCTTGGGAAAGTAAAAGAGCTTGACTAATAAGTGCAAATACAAGCTGAAAGATCACACAATGGTTGATGAGGTTATTTTTACACAAACAAGTACCAGATGTATTCAGCATGAAATACCAAATCTGACAATTAATCACATGATTAAGATAAGGAGATACTAAAACAAGGATAATTGCAGAAAGTATCCCTGAATAGCCTAATTTATAAAAAAAAAATCAAAAGAAAATAGGAGAAAAGATAAAAATAAATCCATTTATCATTCAAAACATACATTCCCTTGACATTTGTTTTTTATCTAAGAAACATCCTCCTCCCAAATGCCACTTGTTGAAGAAACAAACAAGTGTCAAATGAGCATTTGTAATATCTAATTGGGATAAATCTCAGGGTTAATTTCCCTAAAACGGTAGAAACATTCTATTTCATAGCAAAAGAGCAACAGCAAAATAGTCAGCACCAATGAGCAGAGCCAAATTTAAGGAAAACCAAAAACAAGCTGGCGAATGGAGCTGACAGATAAAGTTCAAAACTTTGCCTGGTGAACGAGCATGGCCTTTGTGCGTCGTTTTTTTCCCTCACCATGATTTTCAGTGCTAAAAAGCAAAGAAGATGATGAAGTTAGTGCTATTTGTGTGCATAAGCCAATCTTATAGAGTGATTTATCGAGGAAATGCTTAGCCGAATTTTTAAGGAGTGGCAGCTGCCAATCCTTGGCAGCTGAAGCTTCAGCTTTAATAGACGATAACAATTTCTTGGGACGAAATTGCCCAACTAGTCCAACCCACCTGCATAAAAAGGAAAAAGGGCTGTTAATCAAATGCAGAACATGAGTAAAATTGAGTCTTCAATTTAGTATAGGTACAAGTTAGTGAAATATACATAGACCAGATAGGAAAGCCAGCCTAATGTTTACACAACTATGCTTTTTCAACATATATGCATTATTACATTACTAAACAAACTGAAAAATCATACTTTAAAAACAATATGAACAAGAATATGACATTATATAGTATAAGTATGCATAGTTGTTAAAAAGTATGACAGGTCGATCCGCCTAATGGTTAGGCCTCCTCATAGAAGAATTTGTGTATGTAGACACTTGCTGCGAGGGCATAAATTTGCCGAAAACATGTGATAACACACAAGCCTAAGCTCTGACGACATAGTATATATAAGCACCTAAACAGTAAACACACTAGTTAGTGTGTATACATGAACTACAACAATCAATAACAGTCTCAAAAACATCCTCACAAAATCCCATACACTCTTTACCTTGATTCACTTTCCTTTTCATCAGGTTCAACAAAACTATAACATTCCCATGACAAGAATTCCATCACACACACGCTAGTTAGTGTGTATACATGAACTACAGCTATCAGTAATGACCCCATAAACCCACATAAACCTCCTTAAAAAATCCCATACAAAATACAAACAGACAAATATCTTTACCTCGATTCACTTTGCTTTTCACCAGGTTCAACAAAAGCTCAAACATTCCAACGACAAGAATTCGGCCCATTTCAACGAACAAACCACATCTATCACACACACATTTGCACACACTGTACATGAACTGCAGCTACCAATAACAATTCCATAAACCCGCATAAACATCCTTATAAAATCATGATACAAGCAGAAAATTCTCGTTACATCAATTCACTTTGCTTTTCATCAAAATCAACAAAAGCTCAAATATTCCAATAACAAAAATTAAACCCATTTCAAAAAACAACCCACATCTATCAAAACACACACACACACACACAATAAAAAAAGACAATGAAAATGCAAAAACAATACCAGTCATCCATACAAACTTTTCCGATGAGAGATTGCAGCGCGAGAGAGCCTAACTCCTTATGATTAGGGGATGGCGAAATTAATGGAATGACACCCAGAGGAAACCCATTTCCTAACAAGGAAAGCTGCTGGATTCTGAGGACTTTGCTGGCCCTTGCGCCGTCGAGGGGGGGAGGATCCCCTGGGACGGCCCGAGCTACGCCGTGGAATGCTTGCGGAGTTGAAATGTTGAGGTCACAGAACGTGGCGTCCATGGCTGTTCTCAAACTTGCCATTTTAAAGTCGGCGGTGCACCTGGTTTTCAGGGTCTCTCGCTTTCTTTGGGATTGTTATCTTCCTTCAGGTGACATGAAAGGATTTTGGTGTGCGGTTTCTTATCTGGGGGCTTTGGGGTGAGGGACTCGGGGAAGAGTGGTACCTTTTTTGGGGTTTAAGTTTAGTTATTTTGCTTTCCCACCCCTCTACTCTAATTGATTTCCTTCTTTCCCATTTTATTTCATTTCATCTTCTTCTTTAATAGTTTTCCAGCCTCTGCACTTAGTACATTTATAAATAAATATTATAAGTTATTTGTATGTATATAATATTAAAATTATAAATTAGATAATAGTAATATATTTTAAACATAGAGTATTATAAGTTATTTTTATTCATATAATGTTAAAATTATAAGTTACATAATAGTATTATGTTTTAAAATTTGATCATTGGTTAAAATAAATAGTACATAACAATTGGATTGCATAAGAATCACTATATTAATTGTATAAAATATAATAAATAATATAATTTTGTAATTTTCAAAGATTATAACTTATTAATTAACTAAAAAATATTAAATTTATTATAACAATTGCTTATGCAATTTTAAAAAAATTTATTATAACATTAAGAAAGTTAATTTATTTAAAAAATAATTGCTTAATTAGATAAAAAAAAATATAATGTTGATTTTATAATAAATAACTTGTACAAAAAAATTTTAAAATATAATATTTTATGTTTATGTAACTTTCACATCTCATTTAGTGTAACCTATAATTATTAATTTTAATAATAACTATTATATGATTTAACAAAAAAAAATATAATTATTACTCAATTAATATAAAATGTAACAATTTTTCATCATCCATTGTACAATGTGATCACAAATGTTCTTGTGGTGATGTGAACATAATTAATGTATAAAATTTAAATAAAAGTGTGGTTCATCCACAGTCTACTCCATACTATAACTACTAGCTAGCCAATCAAAAGAAAGAGAGAATAATTCTTACCAATCTGAAACTATCTAATTATCTAATTAAATTATTTCTTCTTTTTAAAATTTGTAATATTTGATAAGTAGTTAATATTGCAGTTAGACTACATTGTGCATTGGAGACATTATTTTATTTTCTAGTCATAAGCATAACATTTTTCTTACACGGTTCACGATCTATTTAATTTATTAACATTTGTCAAAAAATATATATTACAACTACATTAAAACAATTGTAGATGTTCTTATGCACATTAGTGTCTACACACATTTCCCTAAATATATTTTTATACACAAATTTTTACATGAGATGACACAATGTTAACGGGTCGACCTGTCACACATTTTAGTTTCTAAATAACAATGCACATAACTATGAAATGTCATACTTCTATTTTTGTTATTTTTTAAAGTATGACATTTCAACTTAAAAGTAGACATAGCCAAACGGGCTTGCCCATCAATTGTGGACTCAACCCGAGCCTATTATGGTGGAACCGGACCCGTCCAAAAAAATATAGTTCTGGTTTAAGAATAAAACCGGCGATTCCAAGTCGAAATCGAGTTTTAGTCACGTCTACCACCAAAGATGATAAATTAGTAATAAATTTTGATTTAAATGCCCAAACCAAGCCGGGTCCGATTTCGGTGTGGGCCGAAAGCCCACGGACAATGGCTGGGCCATTGGTCATGTCTACTTGAAAGCATGCAAATTATAATGATTAAAAATATGAGTGTTGAATCGGTGGCACAAATTTTAGGGCATTACTATTCACCGCCCCCCAAATTACTAGTCACCGCCCCCCTTGGACAATTTTGCCATTCTCATTTTTTCTAAACATCGCAGAGAAGTGTACGGTGAAATGTCGTCAAATTCCGAGGTACGAAAAAATTCGTGTCCGGACGCCGGTTCCGGACAGCTTATAGCCCGTCCGGAACCGGCGGCCGGACGACTTAAAGCCCGTCCGGAACCGGTGACCGGACGGAGTAAAGACCGTCCGGAAAGCACGGCCTTTTTTTTTTAATTATTATGTTATTTATTTGAAATAGTTATGTTATAAATTGGACTATATTATTATGTTAGAAATTATTATGTTACATTTTAGACTTCATTATGCTATTAATTGGACGTTTATCGTGTTAGGAGTTACAAATTATTATGTTACATGTTCATTATAATATAAAATGGACGTTTAGATATTATCGTGTTAGGAGTTAGAAATTATTACATTATATATTAGTTTTAGTTATGTTATAAATTGACGTTTAGATATTATCGTGATCGTGTTAGGAGTTACAAATTATTACATTATATATTAGTTTTAGTTATGTGGTAGCCAGCATCACCCACAGCCAGGCACCCGCCTCATCCCTAGTCGGCCGGTCTTTCCCCCTGAATGCCCCCGAAATGGTTAGAAGTTTCATTAATGTGTTTCAATTTTCCGGTTTAATTCGTAAACAACGGTTTACTGCACGGTTTAATTCATTAATGCCCCCGAAATGATTATTAATAATAATCTCAATTAATTCGTAAACAACGGGCTTACGAATCTGTTAATTTCGATTACTGGTTATCGGGCTCAATTTCATAAATTCCGAATATCCTCAATGCTCGGAAATATGACAACTCGTAAATCTTTAAATTTACGAAACCGACATAATATATGTTTATTAGCGTACACTAATAATACATCATCAAGTAATGTTTCTCTCTAGCAGTTTAATAAAATAATAATACTATTCGACTCGATATTAAAATTAATACAATTAACAATTATGAGCACATAACCGAAATAGAATTATCGAGCTCGAATAAATAATTTCAGAATAAAATAAAATAATAATAAAAAATCTCCAATTAATTCCGGAACAAATGGGGCGCTACACATCACCAGCTTGATCTTTTTCCCTTTCCTTTGAGGAAGTCATTTTGCTAAGGAATTTGCTATTTCCAAGAGATCAGCATATAATAGTTTAGCAGTAATTAGTAAATAGAATTGCTTCTCTTTTTTTTCCTTTTTTTTTTTTTTTTATGTTTACTTGATTTGGTATATGCTGAATTTTGGGACCTATTTTCTTTATGAAAGTTTAATGAAATTGTCTATGAAGTTTCATTAATATGTTTCAATTTTCCGGTTTACTGTTTCTGATCAGATTTGGAAATGTGTGCAATATCTTATATATACTTAAGTCTGGTCACGATATGTCTGGCTATATAATATGTGTGGTTTTATATGATGCATAATATTTCTGGTTAGATCATTAAAGTGTATAAGAAAAATATCTAATATTTATCATTAAGTGTATAAGAAAAATATCTAATTTCTTACTATCGAACAATCTTGGTACGAGATCTTAGTGGGATTGATTATCAAATATTGTGGAATGCTTCTGATTTTCCGCAAGAGCCGTTTCGATGAGCACACATGTATTTCACGTTTTCCGCATTTTGACTTTGACAGTTAACAAATTGTTTCACTTACTATTAAATTTGTATTTATAAGTTAAAAGGTTATGTCTGGTAACTAAATAAACTAGTTTATAATTAATTTGGTTGGCTTATAAGTTTTATATTTTCAAATAAGCTTCATTTTGTAAGATTGAGTAATTTTAAAAAAACTCGAACTTATCTCATAAGCTTTTGTGTGTAACTTTTTAAATAAACTCGTTTAAATTTTTATTTCACTTAGTTTATCAACTAATTTTATCAAATATTTTTATCATATAAGCTAGTTTTTTAGTATAAGTAATAAACTATAAACAACTATCTTATTTTACCAAATATAGTCATAATATTTTTCTTAAAAGATATAGACTTGTATATTTGTGCTCTCTTTTTTAAGAAAAAAGGACAAACTATTTGCCATTATCTCTTGCTTTCGTTATTGATCTCACAACAATTATTTTTTAATAGAAAAAGGGCAACTCTTTGCCATTATTACTACTTGAAAGATGTATCTTGTGCTCTCTTTTTTAAGAAAATGGGAGAACTATTTGCCATTATCTCTTGCTTTCGTTATTGTCTTATTGATATCACAACAATTATTTCTTAATAGAAAAAGAGCAACTCTTTGCCATTATTACTCGAAAGATGTTATGCTTTTATATTCTGTGCTTTCTTTTTTAAGAAAATGGGCAAACTGCCATTATTTCTTGCTTTCGTTATTGATCTCACACCAATTATTTTTTTTATAGAAAAAGGGCAACTCTTTGCCATTATTACCTGTTAATATTTTATTTCTTATTTTTGAAATTTATGATTTATCAGACATCAAGAGAATGCATAATTTCCCCATTCCATGAAACTCAACCAATTTTGGTAACTAAAACTAAAAAGGAAACAAAGGCCCAACACGATTTGCCAGCATTAAATACAGCCCATTTTCTAAGCCCATATCATCAAAAGTCCACTTATATAATCAGAATTTTGAAGATCATCTTATCCAGTGTGTGAGGTTGACTAAAGCACCCAGCTTCAATTCTCCACCCACTTGTGGTAGTGGGTCGCATTTTGGCATTCTTTATTAGATTTTTTTCCTTTCCCCACAGAACCTTATCTGCTCTTTCAATCTTCTTTCTCTTATCCCAATGCTGCTATATCTCAGCTAAACAGTAAAAATTGCTCAAGCTTTTCGTCAATGGCGGACATTGTTTCGTGCCACCACAGCTGCTCCTTTTCACCATTGACAAAATATGGTAATCGCCGGCACCCATCGAATCGCATCGAGCTTTCAAATCTCCATAATCCTTCCAGCCACCAGTTTAAGCCTTTGCGCTCCTCTGAAAAGTCGACTTCATATGAGCACGTAGGTGATCAGGCAAGTCATCTGTGTGTGTGTGTGTGTGTTTTCTGATTGTTTTGAACCGATTATATTCAGCTTGTTCTCTCTCTTTCTCTCTCTCAATTTTCTGCAATTAGTGTCTTGGTGAATTGAATGTTGATCTGGTTTTTGAAATATCCATCGTTCTAATCGTTGAACAGAGAAATTGGTTTGGAATTAAATTGCTTGGCAGAGTTCTGTTAGCATTGAAACTCAGTAGTCGCAATGACTCGCCACATGGGATTAAATTGCTTGGCAGAGTTCTGTTAGCATTGAAACTCAGTAGTCTCGCCACATGGGATTAAATTGCTTGGCAGAGTTCTGTTAGCATTGAAACTCAGTAGTCGCAATGACTCGCCACATCAAACGCGTGCGCGAGTGTATATATGTATTATATATACACACGCTGCACGTCAAGCTTTAAACGCTCTCTACAGATATTAATATCTCTCTGTTTTTTTCTTTTTGGTTAAGTTTCTGAAAAAGCTTGAAGTAGCGAAGATGGTGTCGCAGTCAATAATTCGCAATGTCGTCGGGATTATCGGTTTGTGCTTCGTGTTCTCTCTACTTCGTCGTTTTTCGCCGCTTGATTTTTCTGTACATGCATATTGATCTGTTCATGAGTTGTACTGTATTTTTGTTTTTGCATATTTGTGATCTTATGCGCTTGTGTCGGTTATTTACTGTTTTCCGTGAATTTTTCCTGTTTGTACTGTATGGGGACTCCATTGATTTGATTTCATGAGTATTGATAGCTGCTGAATGGGAGATTGATTTGAGTTTGATTTCGCTCATGAATCACCATGATATGCCCTTTCTCCGTAACGGTTATGGATTGTCATTATTATTTTTTCTGGTTATTTTTGAAAGCAGAAATCGTATGTTCACTTTATCCTGATCTTTCTCAACTACTGAATATTATCTGTAGGATAATAGAATTAGATTTTAAATTTCTGATTGATACCTTGCTGAGACATATAGAATAAACTTAATCCTCTGAGTTTTGTTTCGGTGCTTTTGAATGTGGTTAACTGCAGAGATCCAATGCTTCATTTGATTTATTTTTTTTTATTTTTGCAGGGAATGTCATCTCATTCTTCTTGTTTCTGTCTCCAGTGTATGTATCTCTCTCTCTCTCTCTCTTACGCACACACACACACACATAACGAGTTATCTACGCTTCATGTTGTCAAATATAGAAAAACAACTTTACTAGAATTACTATTGTGTCATATGGAATTATAGAACCAGAACAGTAACTAAATCAAATGATGAAACTGTAAAAGTGTGTGTAACTGAATCTTTTTTTTTCAATAATTCATGCTAGCACAAAATTTCTGATCATTCATTGAGGCACAGAAGAACACAAAAAGCATTGGGTAGCTACAATGGGTGATATATTGAGATGTTATACTTTGCAGGCCAACTTACAAGAGAATCTGTAAGAAAAAGACCACTGAGGAGTTCCACCCTTGGCCATATCTAGCCACTACCATGAACTGTATATTCTGGATCTTCTACGGCATACCAATTGTCCACCCTGATAGCACTCTTGTGGTAACAATCAATGGCGTCGGGCTTGGCCTGGAGATAATCTATCTCACCATTTTCTTCTACTACACCAACTCTAAGAACAGAGTAAAGTGACTTAAACCCAGCTCGATTAGTTTACTGTTTTTCTAGTTTGTATTGCTGTGCAATTGGTAATTTAGAATCTATTTCTAATGCATTTTTCTATTGTCTACTCTAATGTATATCTGTCAGAGGACTATACTCCTCGTCCTTTTTGCGGAGATTGTGCTGCTTGCTATTATTGCTGTCATCACGCTCGTCTGCTTCCACACCCACAACGCAAGGTCCATGTTCGTGGGGATTGTCTGCATCATTTTCGGGACCCTCATGTACTTCTCCCCTTTATCCATCATGGTAAGTATTCACTCAGTGTCATTGATATATATATAGAGAAATATGTATATGTTTATACTAATCTGTTATTGCATTCTATTCGTTTTGGGCTAATTCAAATGAATGAACTCTTAACAGTGGACAGTTTGGAAAACAAAAAGTGCCGAGTTCTTGCCGTTTTGGCTCTGTTTTGCCGGTTTCTGTAACGGTGTCTGCTGGTTCTCTTATGCCTTCCTCAAGAAATTCGACCCGTACCTTGCTGTAAGTTCATTCTTGTTACTTATTAGTTTCCTTGCATTAATCTACCTTTTTTTTTTTGTATTTGTTTTTATGTTATAGGATATTGGGATAATTCTTTTTTTGACAATTATTTTTATCTTTGGTTGGTGTAGATTACAAATGGGCTTGGGGGGCTGTTTGGCTTATTCCAGATTATTGTCTATGCTTACTACACCTTAAGAGCGAAGAGTAACAAGGGGTCATCAGTAGGAGATGGTGCTAAGACAAGTGATGAGCAGCTCAAGAAGAACTACATGGCATCACCAGCTTGATCTTTTTCCCTTTTCTTAGAGGAAGTCATTTTGCTAAGGAATTTGCTATTTCCAAGAGATCAGCATATAATAGTTTAGCAGTAATTAGTAAATAGAATTGCTTCTCCTTTTTTTTTCCCTTTGCTTTTTTTTTTTTTTTTTCCTTTTTTTTATGTTAACTTGATTAGGTATATGCTGAATTTTGGGACCTATTTTCTTTATGAAAGTTTAATGAAATTGTCTATGAAGTTTCATTAATGTGTTTCAATTTTCCGGTTTACTGTTTCTTAAATCAAAGATTGAGTTTGATTTAATCCAAATTTGTCGCCCAAGTAAATAGTATATACATCACTTAGATATTTAGATTGGAAGACAAGAAACTAGCTAGTATTCTCTTCATTTTTTTGTTTTCTTAGTTTAACTTTTTCCTTATTAATTCATGTTGGATTGCTCGAAACTCCAAAATAGTTACCATATATCTATCACACTATCTAAAATAACTATTCAAACTGTTATATATCTAACAATTATTTATAATACAATTCGCTAGTCAAATCAGTTTATATAATTCAATATCCGCTATCTACTGATATAACAAGATATTATCTTTCCCATCGGTTACTATATCCAAACACCAATGTATAACTACATTTAAGTTATCCATAAATTCAAATAAAAATATCTCTCATTTTTTTAATTAATTGTAGAAAAAATTTGTTAAATTTCCATTAACTTAGTGTAATAATATATTTAAACTACTTTTTGTATCATTGTTACTATTAATACTAACTACTTAATTATGAATCCACGTTAAATGGTATGTGCAGTTATATATATATATTATATTGCAAATTTTTTCTTCAATATATTTATCCTACAATCAATATTAACTTTTTTCATATCATTAAGCATTTTTTTCTTTAAATTTCGTTAATTAATTTTAGTTGTATAACCAAACTCCTTAAATTTGCATAAAAATTATTATAACAATATCAAAATAATTGTACTATTTTTCCAATCTAATTAATCTCTTTAATTTACAAAATTTACATTATTCATTACGGTTTATGTCGTTATCATGATTATTTATAGTATGTAAGTTAGAATAATATATAATTATCTTTTTAATTTATAATTATCCATATCAAACTCGGGTAAGTGTGGATAAAACTTAAACCTTCACTTCCTAGAAATATATATTTAAATACGGAGCGGATATAGATGAAAAAGAGTTAGCACATATTGGTATATACTATTAGTAAGCTCACAAAGATTGAGTTTGATTTAATCCAAATTTGTCGCCCAAGTAAATAGTATATACATCACTTAGATATTTAGATTGGAAGACAAGAAACTAGTATTCTATTCATTTTATTTTTGTTTTCTTAGTTTAACTTTTTCCTTATTAATTCATGTTGGATTGGTCACAACTCCAAAATAGTTACCATATATCTATCAGACTAATCTTATCCTTAAATCTTAATATTACTATTTGAATTGTTCTATAACTGTTCAAATTTATGTAGAAAACCAAAAAAAAAATATATTTTGTAGATGCTATAATTCACGTTGTTTTAGATATTATCGTATTTTTTCCTATGCATATATAAAAAGATGACTATAATGACTCAAATCATTATTAAAATGAGAAATAAAGATTCAATTGGTCTACTAATTGATTAAAATAAATCATATTAAAACTAAAAAACACGTATTATTGGCCCAAAACCAAATGGCAGGACCCGTAAATAAGATAAAATTAAGTACCATTCCAAAATTGCGAGCCAAAACTCATGCAAAACGGACCCGCGCGTAACAATTACACACGGGTTTATCCAAAATTTTAGCACTCTCCTAATCATTAACCAATTATAAACATCAATTTTATTTGGATAATAATATTTATGTGTAATTAGTTTATACGTTGCCAACTTATGTTGGCAATATTTATTTCAAAATAATATTTGTAATAAGTACAATTCAGCATAATTTAAGTCAAAACATATTTCATTTTGAAAATTGATTAAGTTAAAACTTCTGATTACCAATGAAAGGCATAATTAAAATGTTTTTATACATTTTATTTAAAAAAATATTTGTTTCTAAAATTAGACAAGATAAAAAAACACTCCCATTTAACTTTTCACATAGTAGTAAAATATAACGAAGTTTATCTGCTTGGGATAATAATCCTTTGCCGTCGTATCTGCGTGAATATATTGAATTATCTGTATTGTATCTAAATCTAAATGGGATTAAATTGCTTGGCAGAGTTCTGTTAGCATTGAAACTCAGTAGTCGCAATGACTCGCCACATCAAACGCGTGCGCGAGTGTATATATGTACTATATATTCACACGCTGCACGTCAAGCTTTAAACGCTCTCTACAGATATTAATATCTCTCTGTTTTTTTCTTTTTGGTTAAGTTTCTGAAAAAGCTTGAAGTAGCGAAGATGGTGTCGCAGTCAATAATTCGCAATGTCGTCGGGATTATCGGTTTGTGCTTCGTGTTCTCTCTACTTCGTCGTTTTTCGCCGCTTGATTTTTCTGTACATGCATATTGATCTGTTCATGAGTTGTACTGTATTTTTGTTTTTGCATATTTGTGATCTTATGCGCTTGTGTCGGTTATTTACTGTTTTCCGTGAATTTTTCCTGTTTGTACTGTATGGGGACTCCATTGATTTGATTTCATGAGTATTGATAGCTGCTGAATGGGAGATTGATTTGAGTTTGATTTCGCTCATGAATCACCATGATATGCCCTTTCTCCGTAACGGTTATGGATTGTCATTATTATTTTTTCTGGTTATTTTTGAAAGCAGAAATCGTATGTTCACTTTATCCTGATCTTTCTCAACTACTGAATATTATCTGTAGGATAATA